AACCTGGCATGTGGAAGTCAGGTTGGGACTTCTGGAGACCCTCTTTTGCATATGTGCTGTGTATAAAAAACTCTGCAGATCAGTCACTGGTCAGCGCAGACAGGGTGGCATTTGTTCTTGTTTAGTCGTGTCCGATTATTCGTGACCCCGTTTGTTGTAGTTTAGTCGTGTCCGACTCTTCGTGACCCCATGGACCAGAGCACGCCAGGCCCTCCTGTCTTCCACTGCCTTCCGGAGTTGTGCCAAATTCATGTTGGTCGCTTCGCAGCCACTGTCCAGCCATCTCGTCCTCTGTCGTCCCCTTCTCCTCTTGCCTTCACACTTTCCCAACATCGGGGTCTCTTCCAGGGAGTCTTCTCTTCTCATGAGATGGCCAAAGGATTGGAGCCTCAGCTTCAGGATCTGTCCTTCTAGGAAGCACTCAGGGTTGATTTCTTTTAGAATTGATAGTTTTGTTCTCCTTGCAGTCCAGGGGACTATCAAGAATCTCCTCCAGCACCACAATTCAAAGGCATCAATTCTTTGGCGGTCTGCTTTCTTTATGGTCCAGCTCTCGCCTCCATACATCACGACAGGAAAAACCATAGCTTTGACTATTCGGACTTTTGTCGGCAAGGTGATGTCTCTGCTTTTTAAGATGCTGTCGAGGTTTGTCATCGCGTTCCTCCCACGAAGGAGGCGTCTTTTGATTAGATGGACCAAAAGTCAGTCTGAGATGGCTTCCTGCATTTTTTTTTTGTTTTGATCAGCTCTTTATTCAGAATGATGAGGACTAGAAACTTATTTTAGGAAGTTTCCCTGTGTCTGCTTCCTGCAGCTCTGAATGGCTGAATACCACATATAATTTGCAATGATTTGAAGCAAGAGTTCTCCGGTTGATGGCATGACACTTCAACCACTATGTCTCATTGTCTTTTCCTGCAGTATCTTATCCTTGCAAAGTGCTTCTCTAAACAGGTCCCAAGGAAGTGCAGGTAGCAACAATTTGTGTTGTTGGTTCTGATTCTGTTGTGGCCAAGCTGCCTGCCTGGATTCTGGGAAATGTAGTCCAAAAATAAGATTTCCATGCTTTGCTCTCAAGTTATTGGTTTGCTTTCAGATATTTTAGGTGCTGAACATATTTCGCCATTGAAGAAGAGATAGAGTAACTCTGGGCATGTGCAGATTGTATTTGCCTCCACACTTCAAGGGGGAAAGGTTTTGGAAGGCAAAATGTAAAGCCCCAATGTCTCAGAGTTTGGAAATTACTTGGCACTTGTTTGTGGTTTTATTTGGAGTTGGCTTGTATTTAATTTCTTGCCAGTCTGCGTTCTCACAGCTAGAGCTGGTGGCAAGGGTGGATTTGATTTAAATCACGATTTAAATGTTTAAAAATCAGATTTTTAAAATCATCTAAATAAAGATTTTTAAATTTACATTGTGATTTAAATTGCGATTTAAATCCATTTATTTTTAATTTTTTTTAAAAAAAAAAAAATTTATCCGCTCTAGCTGGTGGTATGTCGTTCAGGAAGTTGTCTGTCTTACTTGGTTCAAAAGGCAGGTTTCTCTAAAAAAAAACAGAAAATCAGGTTTCTTTGGAAGGAACTGCAGAGAACAAAGGTTTAAAAAGGTGTATGAAAGGATGCACAAAGTGGAGAACTCTCCATACTAGGACTCAGAAACCATCCAGTGAAACTGACCAGCCATTCATTCAGGATGGATAATTGAAAATAATTCTGTTCATTATTAGTCACCTTTATGTTTTGGCTTTTCCTCTAAGGAGGACAGAGGGGATTTTCTCCTCCCCACTTTTTTTTCTCAAACCCGTCTTTTAAGGTACGGCAGAGCGGGGACCTGGGGCTGATCAGCCTGTTCTGTCTCATGAGGTTGTTATGAGGATAAAAGGAGGGTGGAGAAGAACTGCATTACATTCCCCGGAGGAAAGGTGGAATATAAAGGAAGCTAATATTACAGAGTAATTGTCTGCCTGCAGTGAGAAAAGATCGTTCTGAATCTGTGAGGTTGTATGTTTCGCCGACTGTAAAATTACAGCAAACGCCGCTGCGCGTGTTCGAATTCATTAGAACAAAGTGCACATTTCATGCGAATTTGTCTTCCGACATGCCTATATTTCTGCCACGACCTACGACGCCGGCAAATGAATTTTGATGGCGCCGCGGATACGCTCTTTCAAGTAAGGGATGTGCGTGTGCCTTGGCCCACGTCTAATTCGTGCCGGAAGGAGGGCGCGCGGATGGACGCCTGCTTGAAAATTTGTCCCTTTCGGAGACACTTCAGACTCGAGCCTTATCTGGATTTACGCGTTTCTAGATTTCCAGGAGAGCTGCCAATGGAGAAATGCAAATGGCCATGCCGAATCTTTGTAGAGGGTGACGCGGAGGGGCAGGAGGGCTACTCGTCAAGCGGTGATACGACAATCCGTAGACCCAGGTCTTTCATTTTGTCTTCCTCGTTCTTTTTCCCAGTTGCCCCGGGTGGCTCCTTAAAGTAGGCACCGAGAAGAGAGAGAGAGAGAGAGGGAGTGAAGGACTTTTAAAGGACAATATGCACGGGGCCTTCATCTGAATTAGTTGGGGGACTGCAAAGCATTATGGGCAATGGTCCATGGCCGGAACGCAGGCCAGGAGAGTCCTCCCTGGCTGTTGTTGCCATGGAGATGGGATTCTTCCATTCTCCTCCAATAAGGTTTCGCCTTCCCTGGGGGATGCTCCCTTTGAGCCTCACGAAAAGCCTGAACGGACGTCGCTAGGTTCCCGACAGAAGCCCTGGCCCTCGCCCAGCGTTTCACAAAAAGTCTGCCCATACAAATGGGGTTTTCTCTCAGGGCGAAACAGTCCCGGTCAGTGAAAACCGTAGAGGTTTGGGCTCAAGAAAGCCTCTTATTGCAAATAATCTAGCGAGCCTCACCTCCATGGATGGTAAGAAATTACAAAAGGCACCCTCCACCCCCCTCTTATTTCTTGGCCGAAATCCTTGTGCAGGTGTGCAAACGGCACTCCTTTTCCACGCAAGTGGGCGTAAGTTAAGAAATATCTGTAGACATTTCCCTATTGCACACCGAGGCGCTTGACTCCGTGCACAACAGATAAGGTCCACAGGGAAATTCCTTGCCTTCCAGCAGTTCAGGAATTTACTCAATTTCCACAACAGATTCCGGCCATTTCAGTAATCTGAGCTCAAGCAGGTAAGTCCAGCTTTTGTCCTCGCCACTTCGTCCCCAAAACGACAGCCCCGTGCAGGAGGTCGGACTCAGGAAGCGAATGGATGGCCCACAGTCACCCGGTGAATTCCAAAGTACTCTGAAGATTCGAATCCAGATCTCTTGAGTTTCCCCATGCCAACACTCGAAGCAGTGGTTTCCAGCCCGTAGTTCCCAGATGTTTTTGAACTGAAACTCCCAGAAGCGTTTGTTGCTGGCTGTGCTGGTCGGGATTTCGGGGAGTTGCGGTCCAGGAATATCTGGTGACCCTAAATTGGGAACCACTGCACTGAACCAGTGGCTCTGCTTTGTATTTTATCAACATACAGGTGAAGGGTGGAGTACTGCACGTTGTGTGTCTATATTCAAGCTTGCCAGCCTTAAAGCAGGCCTGTCAAAGACATGTTCCTTTCAACCAGTCGCCAAGAGAAATTAAAACCAAAAAAATGCTGTATCTTCAGTACTGCTTTTTATCTACATTTCCATTGATGGTCTGTAGTTGTTTCACACCTTGAACTAGAAACAGAATCGCAGGCAGAGGAACTGTGTCCTGCTTTTGGTTTTTTTGGTTCCCTTCACAAATTGATAGAATTAGCCCTTTCCCAAACGATATGATGGAGTCCCATCATCATACTCCTCAAAGAGATACCTCTCATTCTCCCTGCGGCAAAATGTTTGAGGTGAAATGCTATGCGAAAATAAAGAAATCATAGCTAATGAGGTTTTGCTGGTACACCCAATATGGCCACTGGAACAAAAAAAATGGCCACTGGTACACTCAAGATGGCCACCAGAACACAAAAAATGGGCACCGGTGCACTGAAAATGGCCGCTGGGATGCTCAAAATGGCCTAAAAGTTGCAGTCAATCAAAGGAGGACTTGTATGTTGTTTTAATGGCAAGACAGGACCATTCGCTGTTTTCAGTATCTCATTTCACTTTGTCCCACCTCAGTACAGTCGTGCCCTGCTTAACGCTTACCCCGTATAACGACGAATCCGCTTCACGACGATGTTTTTGCAATCACATTTGCGATCGCAAAACGATGTTTTAAATGGGTTTTTTTCGCTTTGCAAAGATCGGTTCCCTGCTTCGGTAACCGATTCTTTGCATTATGACGATCAAAACAGCTGATCATCGGGTTTTCAAAATGGCCACCGGGTGCTCAAAATGGCTCCCTGCTGTGTTTTTGGATGGATTCCTCACTCTATAGGCACCGAAAATGGCCACCCCTATGGAGGATCTTTGCTGGACGGTGAGTTTTTCAGCCCATTGGAACGCATTGAATGGTTTTCGATGCGTTTCTATGGGCTTTTTTATTTCGCTTTACGACGTTTTCGCTCTACCGCAATTTCGCTGGAACGAATTAACGTCGTTAAGCGAGGCTCCACTGTATAACAATAATGGTGTGCCACCAAGTCAATTCTGACTTGCGACAAGGGACTGGGCAGCTTGCCCAAGGCCACCCAGGCTGCCTCTTTTCCCTGCAGGCACCGCAGGGGGGGGATTGAACTCCCAACTTCCGGCTCTGCACCCTGTTACTTAACTCACTTAACTATCCAGTCAGCTCCCATCTCAGCAACCACTGTGCGTATAAATCTGGGGCTTGGTTACTGTGCTCTGTGTGTCTCAAGAAGTGGGCCGTGTAGAGCAAAGTTCCTGCCAAGTGAAGCTTGTTTGTCTTAAAATTGCCATTCGCCTCTTCGTTGCGCTCATTAGGTCTGGCTGTTGATGCGTGTTACTGATGCTCTCAAGACGCCCATTTCTTCCCCCCCGCTTCCTCTCTCGGTTTCTGCAGGTGGCGATGCCATGTCGGGTGCCAAGCCAGGACCGGTACAGATTGTGCTGGTGCACAAAGAGGAGCATTCGTTTGAGCTGGAAGAGAAGGCGCTCAGCCGGGTGCTGCTGCAAGACGATATCCGGGACCTCGATGTGGTGGTGGTGTCGGTGGCCGGGGCTTTTCGCAAAGGCAAATCTTTCCTCTTGGATTTCCTCCTGCGGTACCTGTACATGCAGGTGAGCTCCCCTCCCCCACTCGTCAAGAGGAGGATTTATTTCGGGAAACCCAGGGCTTGCAGATGCGGGCGCCTCTTCTGGGAAAAATATTTTAAAACGAGGTTTCCCATAAAACAAATCTACATGACTTAGTGTAAGGGAGAATCAATGCATCTTAGAGGCTTTGCGTTTGATTGTGCTGGTGCACAAAGAGGAGCATTCGTTTGAGCTGGAAGAGAAGGCGCTCAGCCGGGTGCTGCTGCAAGACGACATCCGGGACCTCGATGTGGTGGTGGTGTCGGTGGCCGGGGCTTTTCGCAAAGGCAAATCTTTCCTCTTGGATTTCCTCCTGCGGTACCTGTACATGCAGGTGAGCTCCCCTCCCCCACTCGTCAAGAGGAGGATTTATTTCGGGAAACCCAGGGCTTGCAGATGCGGGCGCCTCTTCTGGACCAATGGCAGGCTGTATCCCTGCGAAAAGGGGGGGGGAAGAAGGAAAAAAAGGGGGTAGTTGTATTTTATTCACACCCCCCCCCCGAAGTGGCACTGACTTCAAGTTCATTTCTGGTTTTAGAAAAATATTTTAAAACGGGGTTTCCCATAAAACGAATCTACGTGACTTAGTGTAAGGGCGAATCAATGCATCTTAGAGGCTTTGCGTTTGGAGGAACAAACATTCTCAGGCAGCAGTGGGGTGTTGTTCACAAGGGCTTGTAGGCTTCACTGAAATGTCTCTAAACTCCAACTCGGGCATGCTTTTTAAAACATTTGGTGTGATTGGAAAGGGCACCTCCTCTTCAGCCCCACAATATAAATTCCTGCCACACCATCCATCGGTGGCCGAAATCCTGTTGCTTTGTTATGCAGAAGGTGTGATACTAACCAGCAATGAATAAGTCCCTGCTGGGATTCCTGACCATGCACCAAGCCACACCCTGAGCATCTCAGTGGCGACTTGTTAATTGCCAGCTGGGAATGTGTGCTTGTTATGCTCTTTGCCTTCTTTGTGTGTAATTTCAGCCACTGGCTCCTTGTTGGCCAGAAAGTGCTCCTAGACCTGGTTTCTGCCCTCCAGATGTTGTACTACAAAGCTCGTAATCCACAGGTGGAAGCTGCCCAGTTGGATAATACCGGCGTAAACTATCTCTGTGTATCCTGCAAGTTCTTCCTTTAAAGATTCCTAGCAGCTGACATATTATAGTTTGGGGCTGACTTGGTGTAGAAGGCCACTTCCTTATCAGCCATGGATTTTTGAGGATCTTAAAGGATAGGAAGTGTAATTTCATAGACAGCTACCCACTTGGTCAGATGCGTTTCCCCTTTGTTCTGTAGAAAGAAGGAGCAAGTGGTGACTGGCTGGGTAACAAGGATGAACCCCTAACAGGATTTTCCTGGCGAGGTGGCTCTGATCCCGAAACTACAGGCATCCAGATCTGGAGTGAAGTGTTCATTGTGGAGAAGCCAAATGGGAAGAAGGTAAGGCCAGCGGTGGTGTTTGTGGTACGGGTCCGTACGTTAAGAGCATGGGCTTAGAAATGTGAGGAATACAGGCTGGGTTCCCTCTTCTTGTGATTCAGGCTGTCTCAGCCCAAGAAGATGCCTCAAGGAGAAGATTTTGAGCTCTGAGCTTTCCTTCAGTGCGAGAGTGATACAAGGAGCTCAGAACGTCCTGATTCAGGCTGTCTCAGCCTAAGAAGATGCCTCACGGGGAAGATTTTGAGCCCTGAGCTTTCTTGCCTTCAGTGCGAGAGTGATACAAGGAGCTCAGAACGTCTCTGGGCAATGCTGGTGCCCTTTAACTCTGATAAGCAAAGGAAATATGCACAGCAGGCACAGAAGAAGATGCGAACAATCCACCGAATAAGTCTAATTCTCATAAAGTCCATGCAATGAACCAACAGGAATGTTCTACAGTATTTGCTGAATAGGGCCTTTTGTGCAAAAATCATTCCTGCCAGTAGAAGAACTCTCATGGATAAGACCTCACTCTTCTGAGGTTGAGGAACAGAACGCGTGGCACGTCTTTCTGCGCAGTGCGATGCAGAAGAGTTGCGCAGAAGGACACGCTAGAAGCATCTCTTGATCTTCATGTTCTTACCTGTCGAACTTGTGTTTCCAGGTGGCCGTTGTGCTGATGGACACGCAGGGGGCCTTTGATAGCCAGTCAACGGTCAAGGACTGCGCCACCATCTTTGCGCTCAGCACCATGACGAGTTCTGTGCAGGCAAGTCGCTCCACGTGACCAGGTTTTCAGAAGGAGTAAAAGGGTGTCGCCAGGACTGGGCTTTGGATCGTGTAAAACCTGCAAAAGTGTTGGATCAAATTAAATAGGGTTGACCTTCTTGTCCATCAGAGAGGGAGCTGATTGCCACTTTATGTAACCTAGATTATTTCAAGAGGGTGGGGAGAGAATCTATGTGGTGGACATGGCAGGAGAGTAAATGGGAAACTCTGGAAGATCTTTATTTGTATCAGAGAATTGCACAATTTAAAATTATAGATGCACGTGAATTATAGATAAAATCAAAAACAAATTCAAATGTCAAGATAATTAGACTGTTTTGGACCAGAAGCAGGCTACTTCAATAGCATTATCCTGGCCATTTACTAGATCTTCTTTTGCACACGTAGTGGGGCATAAATAGCATGCCCAGAAGTGTTGCATCAATTGAATTTCTCCACAGTCACAGAAAATGTGTCCTGTATCCACTTAGCCCCTTTTTGCTTGATTATTCTTTGACCTTCCTACTTCACTTCCCAGTCTATTAAGTGACTTCCAGATGGTCCAGCGAGATTTCAGCATTCCTCCATTCGGCAAAGTGCATTGTTTTTATTCTAGCCTCTTCTGGTTTATCTCTGGAAGCTGATGGTCCAGCCAGATTTCAGCATTCCTCCATTCAGCAAAGTGCATTGTTTTTACTCTCTGTAGGTATAGCCTAGCCTCTTCTGGTTTATCTCTGGAAGCTGAAGAGATTGGACTGAATGGACAAGTGCTTCTTGTCCACGGGATTGAGTCTGAGGCCTCCAAAGAGGAGGGCCTCCTGTTCTGACCCGAGTGTCTCCATAAGACTCACCTGTTGCAGCTGGGGCAAGCGGGCTGCCTCCCCCCCGAATAGGACCCTCTGCGTGGGTGTTGCAAAAATCCGAGGCCTCCAAACAGGAGGGCCTCCTGTTCTGACCTAAGTGTCTCCATAAGACTCACCTATTGCAGCTGGGGCAAGCGGGCTGCCTCCCTGGAACAGGACCCTCTGCGTGGGTGTTGCAAAAATCCCTTCTCTTTCTCTCTTTTCAGATCTACAACCTTTCCCAGAACATCCAGGAAGATGATCTGCAGCAGCTCCAGGTGACTGCTTGTAAAAAAAAGCCATGCCTTGGGTCTGTACAGTGGCGCCTCGCATTACGACGTTAATTCGTTCCAGCGAAATCGCTGTAGAACGAAAACATCGTAAAGCGATTTTTAAAAGCCGATAGAAATGCATTAAAACCCAATTAATGCGTTCCTATGGGCTTGAAACTCACCATCCAGCGAAGATCCTCCATAGCGTGGCCATTTTCACTGCCCATGCAGTGAGGAATCTGTCCCAGAAAACAGCAGGCGGCCATTTTTTTTTAACCTGGCAGCCATTTTGAAACCACCGATCAGCTGTAGGAAAACTGTCGTTTTGTGATGATTGGTTAGCAAAGCAGGGAACCGATCATCGCAAAGCGAAAAAACCCCATAGGAAACATCGTTTTGTTATTGCTTTTGCGAGTGCAAAAATTTCGTCGTGATGCAATTTTGTCGTAAAACGAAGCGCTCGTCTTGCGAGGCACCACTGTATACAGAGGGCTGTATACGGAGCATGAAAAGGATGCCTTTCCTATGCAAACAGCTTGTGAATGGGTTGTGAATCGGCTTGGCTCATCTGTGGCCCAGGAGGCAAAGTTCAGTCCTCTTTGGGTGCAGCCCTTCAGCTTGTGGCTTGGGGGGCAGTGCTGTGGGTCTGGGCCAAATTTCTATAGGGCTCCTTCATGTCGTGCGTGATCATGGCTGGCTGTTCCTTCTGAGTCAACTTGAAGATTCCATTTGGAACCACAGGCCTGGTTACTCTTTGAATGGGAGACCACGATGGATCTCCTGGTAGGGCTAGGGATGTATCGGTCCTGAAATGAAGCCCTGGTGATGAAACAGCTGCCAGTCAGAGCTGACTCTACTGGGCTGAGTGGACGCCGTAGAAGGTTCCTTCCTGTCTTCGCATATCCCTGTATGATAGGAATCTCTTTCTCTGTTTTTGGCTTCCTTGTAAACTCCAAGATAACAGCCGTTCTCATCATGGGTAAATTCCTGCCATTTGGTACTTGCATATTTGGATGATGAATCTTTTTGTCCTCTAAAATGAGTGAGCAGAATAGTAAGTGGGGTTTGGAATGAGTAATGGTGGCAGGAATGAATAATAAAGGTAGCAAGGAATAATCACGGTAAAGAACAGGAGCATACTTGGCCATCATAGAAGTGTAAGTGTGTGTGTGTGTGTGTGTGTGTGTGTGTGTGTGTGTGTGCGCGCGCGTGTGTGTGAGAGAGAGAGAGAGAGAGAGAGAGAAACACAAACAAACAGACAGAGAGAGAGA